CGGCATTCCCACTTTAACATTAAAGGGGATTTTGTACATCTGCTTAATACTTAAATCCTGGTTTCTCAGGGACAGAGCCCAGCTTATTTGAAGACAGAGGGTAATGGGTCTAGAGGAGCAATGATAGGCCCCAGCCATCAAAAATCTGGTTTTCCATGAGCAGTCTTTCTGTATTGCCACCTTAGCCAGGTTTAGAGACAAAGCAAAAAAGATGAAGACATTCAATCATGGCACCATCAGAAAGGCCCTATTTGAGCATACTCTAAGGGCAGCCAGGACTGTGCTCATCCTGCTCTCGTTTGGAAGCTCTTACTTTTTCCCTGACATGCCCTTTATTCTCTGGCCTAAACCATGCTTATTCTTGACCCAAAGAGCTTGAATGAGTGAAACTACTCAGGAGGAAAAGTGGACTTAAGCATGAATATGCAAACAATAGAACATACTTATACCCAGTAGTGACATCTACAATCAAATATAAGGACCAAGTCATTATATATTCAAGCAGAGTATTCACTGGAAGATTCATTAAGGATTTTGCTTTGCTTCTACTTGTTCTGTTACAGAGCAGTAGTTTTATTCTTTCTTTCATTGCCTTGTGGCGTGCAACTCCTATACCCATCATTGGAAAAAAACATTTTTGCCATTGATATGAATCCATGAGATTTGAATACACATCAAATCAGAGCAGTTTTACAGGCAGAAGCTTTGAATTTGTTGTGTGTTCTGAAGAAGAAAAGTTATTAATCATTTCTATGAAAAAATGCATGAGATGTCTAGATTATCTGAAGTTTGGCAACTTTTCCCTCCTAAAAATAGAGTTGTCTTTATTCATTGCTTGTTAATGCTACACACGCAATGTCACTGATGCAGAGGTCACTGGCAGAAAAATAAGGGTTTAACAAGCAATTTGGAATTACATAGCAAAAAAAGCCTACTTAACTACTTATAACCCTTCCAGACAGTGCCTGAAAAAAGCATATGAAAATTTTTGCTCTTTTGCATTTGTGAGGGGATTTTTCAAGTCCAGATTAAAATGTGTATAAAGAAAGACAGAAAGAAAGAGAAGTATCAGAATCGCAAAATCTCCTTCATTCCTTTTCTCAAATTTCATGTTTTCAGGAGGACAAGGGACCTCATAGGTTTAAGTAAATGACCATTTTGCCTATGTCATCTCATTGAGAAGATCCTTTATCAGTTGCTACCCTTCAGAGAAGCAGAGATCTGTAAGGAGGGCCTGATGGCAGCAGCCATGTGCTTCTGCCTCATCGCTGTTGTAGAACAAATGAGCTGTGGGGTCACAACCACACTGCAAAAACTAAGAAAACAAACATGGAGTGACTCCGAAGGAATTTTTGACTTGCATTTCAACACAGCTTGAGAGTTGTATGCATTAAAATCCCAACTGGTGGAGTTCACAGAGCATAATCCTGAAACAAGTGTCTTTGGCATATACTTAACTGAAGTCAAGGGGCACTGTGCAAAGTTAAACAAACCTAATGCTTATTTCAAATTTTACTTTGCTCTGAAGGGGAGGCTTGCAAGATGTTGTCTGGTGAAGAAAATCCATTTTCTGAGATAAAATTATCATAAAAAGTTAAGGAAAGAGTATTCACAGATGGCACTGAAAGGCACACTGGATTTCGTAAGCTGGTCTGTTTACCTGCACCTTCTGCCGTGTGGCTGTGCCAGACCTGAAACACCATGTGATAAAGGGAAGAAACTTGCCATGATGCTGACTAAGCCTTCAACCAACTCGAGGAAGTAGGAAGATCCTACCTCCAGTCTCAACAAGATATATTAATTTATTAACTTGAGCAAATTCTTTGATCCCCTGGTATTTTTAAAGGACACCTCCATCCCCTGTGAGAGATGCAGCTCCAGGAATCTGAGCAGGGAGGAACATGGAGCATGCTCAGCACCTCATACTTGATTGGAATCCCAAGAGAATTTGCAAGGCGTGGTATCTCATCTTGCTTCATGGGGGACAACAGCCAATGAAGGATGACATAATTGGCACACACCTCACTTCTGAGAAACCCAAAAATGAAACAATAGATAGTGGAGTCGCCCCCCCGACTGCAACTCCACCAGGATACAGGCATGAAAGTGTTGATTTTATGGACTCAGAATGATTTGCTGACAGCTTTAAACATCACTTTGCGTAGTCTGTCACTAATTCCATAGTATAAATAGGAACTGGAAAACAATTAGAATCCTATCTGAGCACAGGTGCTAATGGAAATTTCATAAAAAAGAATGAGAAAACTGCATAATTGGAAACCTCTGCTAAAAATTTTTTGTGAGCTTTTTTGGTTTTTATTTCCCTTAGTGGATCAGGTGCCAAAAAGGCCCATGATCAAACTTCTATTTGTTTTCTAGGATTTCAGAGAGCACTGCACTCCCAAATCTCAGTAGGAAAGGTCCAGAATAAAATTTAATTTAAATGGTCATTACTTCAGGCTTCACCATAATACTGGACACAAGATTGTCCAGTTTAGCCAACTTTACTCAATAATTTTAGTTAAATACCGCAAACAACTACCACCCAAACCAGAGTCACTTTCTTCCAGTCATAGAATCATAGAATCATAGAATCATTATGGTTGGAAGAGACCTCAAAGATCATCAAGTCCAACCGTATACCTGATGCCACCATGTCTACTAAACCATGTCTTGAAGTACCACATCTAAACGTTTTTTGAACACCTCCAGGGACGATGACTCCACCACCTCCCTGGGGAGCCCGTTCCAATGCCTAACGGCTCTAACAGTGAAGAAGTTCTTTCTAATGTCCAGCCTGAACCTCCCCTGGC